TATCTTATCTTATCTTATCTTATCTTATCTTATCTTATCTTATCTTATCTTATCTTATCTTATCTTATCTTATCTTATCTTATCTTATCTTATCTTAAGCCCTTTCTTACATTTCATAAAAGTTCTTTCTGAGGCAGGTCTATGGTGATTCTCTCCATGCTCGTTTGTTGCAATTTTTTCTGCCAAAAATAAAAGCACTTTGTGTTTCTGCCAAAAAAAAGTTCAGCTTTGACATCTTTTGTTTTTATGGAAGGAAGCCAAAAACCTATCTAATCTTTTGTGATGTTTTGCTGCTGCAGTTATTTTTAATCTCTGTGTAATGGGACTCGCAAATTTCCTCCATTTGTCTGTTCGTTCTGCATCTGCTTTGATGATCACCTTTAAAGCCTTTTGATTTTTGTTTGCCTTTTCTTGCTCCATGTTTACAGATAGACCTCGAAGTGCAGTGAAAATGACCGTCACTGAGTTTCTGTCGACCAGTAACTGCACCAGCTGCTCTGCTATCATTCCCAATTTCATCACCTTTATGAGAACAAATTGCTCCAAAATTGCATTTGAGGAAATGTTCCCAGAAAGCTTTATTTGCCTTGGTGCAAATTGAAAAGCGTGCAARACAGAAATGCAACAATTACAAAAAGGTTTGCTTACTTCTGTTTGCAAATTGCAAATGTTGCAGCTGCTCAATCAGGAATGGAGTTCATAAAGTGCAAAATATTAAGACGATTTTGTAATCAGGGAAATGAAGGGAAGAGATTATATGCACAGAGTTACACTGATTCTCTAATTTTATCTGCAAAGATTTTATGACTCAAGTCCTGAACGTTCAACAGAACCTTTCACCTCAGTCGTTTTCACAGACCCGTCTGACCTCCTCTCCTGTTCTTCTTCTCTGCTGCTCCACATTTTTAATTTCCCTGAGGAAAAGCAACCTTCCCCCATTTTCCCCTCCTAAGTTTTCTTTAAGATTCTCCTTTTTTTTGCTCCWCTCCTCTCATCTGTTTACATGGCTTTCAATACTTTTTGGCTGTTGCCACGTCTTTCCTCCTCTTTTTTTTACTTGTTTAAGTCTGACTCTGTCTCTCATCACCTTGTTTGCTGTAGAAACACGATTTTACATGGCTTTTCTCCCAATTTGGCTCACKTTCTGTGTTTGTTGGAAACAGTGAGTTTCAGTCCGTTTGTGTCGGTGRACTCCCTCCCCTCCTCACTTCTCCTCACGTTTGTCTGTATTTTTCAGCTGCACACCTCCCTCTCTCTGCAGTCGCCAGAAAATATTGTTACCGGAGTTAAATTTCATACAGTAGGAAATATTTTCAACCATGCAGGAAATGTCTGAAGTGCTGGGATCTCTCAGACAGACACATTTATAGCAAAAATGTTCATTTGCATCCAAAATAAAAGATCAAAGTTACCACTGTTTTTTATATTTTATTTTTTTTACATTTTTGAGTGTGTTTTAACTCCAGTTAACTTAACATTCAGGTGTTTGAAGGGGAGCCAGGCTGCTGATTGGAATGGCGCCATAGAGGAAGGGGTCTGTCAGGGGGAACAGCAGCACCAGGAACAGCAGGACTCCCATCAGATAAAAGAAAAGCAGGACTGAACGATGAGGRGGGTTCAGGGCGGAGGTGAAGTCAGGCAGGCCCTGGCTGCTGTAGAACGAATGGCACAAAACTGGACCCGCAACATGACCTTTCAGAGCAGCAGAGAAAGATTATCATCACCATAAAATAGTGGGTGATCATGTAAGCACTTGTGCTTAAGTCTGTTAGCAAAATATCTAATGAACCACTGCTTTTATTTTAATGAAACTCTCAGAAAGTAAGTACTGGATGTGCGTCTACAACTGATTAACTTTTGGACTTAACCCAGTTTAAAATGGCCGCCACAAAGAAGAAATCTTGGGACACACAAAAAAGTCTGAAACTGGGTAAATTATATAAATGTTGAGCTAAAATTTGATGTGGTAGTAGCTGAGAGTTAGCCCTAACACATACTCTAAACACAAACTGATCATGTAGAAATTGGATTTGAAGCTTTGACAGTTATTAGTACGGTTAACGTTACCTGTCTGTTAGCAAAATATCTCATGAACAATTGGATGGATTTTAATAAAASTTTCAGAAAATAATAAATGAATATACAACTGAAGTTGATTAACTTTTTAACTCAGTCCAGTTCAAGATGGCTGCCACAGCAACCTTAGTAACACACATAATAACTAGAACTTAGCCAGTTAAACATATACTGAGCTAAATTTTAATGTCGTACAAGCTGAGTACTACAAATAAATCTTAGAGCTTTTTGTTGCATGACTTTGTGGTGGCAAGATTTACCAAGAATGCAGAAACACGTTGGAATAAATGCACAGAAAGTCTGCGTGTATGGTCGTCAGATGATTTAATTTGAGCAACAACAGAGCAGAAGTCAATCAGAGAAGTCTGTCAAGTTGTGGCTGCCGCCTCAGCGCAGAGCAGCCGATAATATAACATCCTGTAACACGTTTACAACCAGTCACAGTTCGACAACTGTAACCACCTGACCAACAACAGGGCTCTCAGCCCAGGGACTACCTTATCAAAATAAGAGAGGTCATCCATTGCTGGAGTCTTGAAGTCTAGGGCAACAGATTAAGACAGCAGAAACTAGTTATCATAAGATATGAGTAGTGGACAGCGTCAAGGTAAAACATATGTAAATAATTTRTCCATAACAACTTAAAACATTACCTTTAACTGTTTGCATCCTGTTTGTGTGCAATATATCTCATAAACCACTGCACTGAATTTAATGAAACTCTCAGATAGTAAATGTTGGATGCACAGCTACAACTGATTAACTTTTGGGGTCATCTCATTTCAAAATGGCTACGACAACTAAATGTCATTAGCGAACACAAAGATAGCTGTAACTCTGTCCGTTTTACAAACACTGAGCTAAAGTTTGSTRTGACAGCAGCTGAGAGTCATCCTCAAAACAATATGATTTGTGACAGATTGTGCTAGATCTTCTTTTTAAGTTTTAGTGTACAGGTCGTGCTGCATGATACGAACTATTTCAAGTAATACCAATTTTATTCTTATTTCAATAGGCAAATGTGTGCTTTAATTCTACTCTCTCCTGTCCTCAGGATGATGAAAGCAGCGAAGGCACCAAACACAGTGGTAAATAAAAACTGAATCCTTGTAAAGCAACAGAACAAAAAACAATCAAATTTAGAGGGTTCATCTGATCCGCATCCGTTTTTGAAAGTGAAATAAGGATTCATGTTTATACCCAAGCTGCATATTAA